ACCCAAATCCCCCCCCCACCTTTGACCGCCCCTTGCTGCGCTACGCCGGACCTCGAGTTTGGCATGGGTTCCCTTGACTCAGTCCTCGAACTGATGACAGGAAGAGTATATATCTCACAGCGATGAGATATATCACTGTTTTTTTTTCTAGTTTCCTCTGAGAAACGAGAATTTGTTGGAGATCTTACTCTTGTTGTGCAGCAGAAGTGCTGCCGAAATTTTCACTGCGCACAACAAGGGTTTGAAGAGAAAGGTGAACAGGTGTTGGATCTGAAGCTTGATCGATGGAGGAGATCATCAAGAAGTTGAACCCTACGGAGGTGTCAACTTTGATGAAGTTGATGAAGTTGTCGGTTGATAAAAGCGCGACAAGACCATTGAAGAAGTTGGAGCTTCCGACCATCGATCTGAAGCTTGATGGACCGAGTACCTACCTGAGTTGGTCACGACGGGTGAGATACATCCTTGCAGGAAGGAACCTGGAGGGTTACTTGACCGGAGAGAAGACAGAATCGGATGAGGACTCGGGAGGACGAGATGAGTGAAAGTCCACTCATATGTTGGTATACATCTGGTTTCTCAACTCGTTGGTCCCGACGATCGCCGCCACGGTGGATGGCATTGAGAAGGTGAAGGACGTCTGGGAGAAGTTGAGGAGAACATATGATGGGGTGAGGAATAACCTGCGGGTGTTCCAGATTAAAGGAGAGATCGACGCCACAGTCCAGGGAGAGCGGACTGTACAGGAATATGCTACAGAGCTGGAGCGCCTGTGGCTGGACTATGATCATTTTTTCCCCCGGGCTAGCTGCAAGGACCCGGGATGTAAAGAGCGGGAGGCCTTTCTACAGGAGAGGACTATGGTGTTTCTTAAGGGATTGACATCAGAGTTCGCTCAGCGAATTGCATTACTGCTAGCTCAGCCGAAAATTCCCACGCTTGAGGAGGTTGTCTCTGCTATGATCCAGGAGGAGACTCGCATTGGTGAAGTCAGCACTAGCAACCTCTAGCAATACTGGATCTAGGGGAGAGACTCGACAGTGCTACAACTGCGGTGCGGTGGGTCATCTAAGGCATGCTTGCACCAAACCATCCAAGGAAGGAGATTCGGGTGGACGTTGACAATTCGGAGGTCGTGGTCGTGGCCGTGGGGATCGACGAGGTGGCAGAGGAGCAGGGAATCGGGCGAATCTGATGGTAGCAGAAGAAGACGAAGCTGAGGTGGTCTTTACTGAGGAGGATCGTGCTCTCCTGGCGATACTCAGGAGGAAGCAGCAAGTAGCAGGGGATGGAGACTTGAGGAGTGGGACTGAGGAGGCATCCACTTCGTTCTTCGCCAGAGGCAATACTGCTACCTATGCTCATCCAACCAAATATACTGATGATATACATGCTCTTGCTTCTATGTCTCCCAACAGATCATCAGAATGGATAGTCGACTCCGGTGCGTCTCGGCATGTGACAGGTAATGCTAGTGAGTTCTCATCATATACTCACTTAGCATCACCTGATAGTATTCAAACAGCTGATGATACATTTCAGCCGGTGGTTGGTAAGGGTACAGTCGATTGTACTGGTTCTGTAAATTTGTCCAATGTTTTGCATGCTCCTTCCTTTCCAGTCAATCTTTTATCCATTAGTTCTATCATCCTCCAACTAAAATGCATTGTTTCTTTTGATATTCCCAAGGTGATTTTTCAGGAGAAGGGGACAGGACGGAGACTTGGGACTGGCACATGGCGTAGTGGACTGTGGTATCTGGATCGTGAAGGGCTGGATTCAGCATTGGTGTCAGTAGTAGAGGAAGCAGGAGTAGGATCTAATATGAGTACTGAGAATGAGTTAATGCTTCATCACCAGCGTTTGGGACACTCATCCTTTAGTGTTTTAGGTAGATTGTATCCTTCTTTATTTGAGAAAGCAAATAAACAGAAACTTGTGTGTGATGCATGTGAGTTTGGAAAGCTTACTAGAAGCTCTTATGTTAGTTCAGGTCAAAGAAGTTCTCGTGTATTTGACTTGGTACATTCAGATGTTTGGGGGTCTTGTTCCACAAGTTCTATGAATGGATACAAGTATTTTGTTACATTTATTGATTGTTTCTCTCGTGTGACTTGGTTATACTTGATGAAGAATAAGAGTGAAGTGTTTGCGTGCTTCCAAAACTTTCATAGGAATGTTCAGACTCAATACGAAGCAATGGTGAAGATATTGAGGTCGGATAATAGGACAGAGTATACCAACAGAGCGTTTGAAGAATATTTATCAGCTCAGGGAATACATCACCAGACAACCTGTCCATACACACCAGCTCAGAATGGGATAGCGGAAAGGAAGAACAGACATCTTTTAGAGGTTGCTAGAAGCATGATGATCTCTATGAATGTCGCAGAAACATTGTAAGGGCAAGCAGTGTTGACCACAGCAGCGCTGATCAACAGAATGCCCTCAAGAGTGCTGGATTAGAAGTCTCCGTGTGAGACATTGAAGGGAGATAATGGTGGGGTTCTTCCACTTAAAGTATTTGGCTGTGTGTGCTTTGTGAAGGACAACAGGCCATCTGTCGGGAAACTTGCCCCTAGAGCTGTGAAGTGCATCTTTGTGGGATATTCTGCTACTCAGAAGGGATATGTTTGCTGGAGCCCGATGGAGAAAATATTGTTTGTGAGCATGAACGTGCACTTCCGAGAACTCGAGCCATATTACACCCGGAAGGTAACGTCATCCGTTGGTAACTCGCCTAATACTGGAAGTATGAGGCGAGAGGAGGAGAATGGTGAGAGATTGGTAAATATGGAGAAATCAATGTCTGAGAATGGTGAGAGATCAGAAAAATCAATTTCTGTAACGATTCCTTGGGAAGGAGACTTGGTTGAGGAGGAGCAAGAGAATGAAGAAGAAGAGGAGAATGAGACAAGAGTTGTTAGACCAACGGCTCAGGGGGAACTACTTACCTATAGTAGGAAGGGAAAACAAATTGCGGGAACAGTACCTACAGTGCCACTGGTGCCAAGTCCCTTACCAACGCCTGTCCCGACTCCTGAGACACCTACACCACCACCAGATTCCTCTCAAGGTGATTCCATTCCTCTTCCTACTCATCCCACACCAATAACTGTACGGAGGACTACTCGCAGTAATGCGGGAAATCCTCCCGATAGATATGGTTGGGATCTTGCTCAGTTTGTATCATATTCTAACATTCACCCTGCACATGGAGCATTCATTACATCACTGGACTCTGTTACTATACCTAACAATTGGCGGTTGTAAAGGACCAGAAATGGAAAGCTGCTATGCACGAAGAGCTAAGGGCCCTTGAGAAGAACCGCACTTGGGAGTTAGTAAAACTACCAAAAGGGAAGAGAGCAGTTGGATGCAAGTGGGTCTTCACTGTGAAGTGGAATCCAGATGGACAGGTTGAGCGCTACAAAGTTCGTCTGGTGGCGAAAGGATATAGTCAGACATATGGCATCGACTACGATGAGACTTTTGCACCGGTGGCAAAGATGAGCACTGTTCGGACCTTAATCTCTCTGGCAGTAAATGGTGGATGGAAGCTACACCAACTAGATGTGAAAAACGCATTTCTTCATAGAGATCTAGTGGAGGAGGTATACATGGAGATATCATCAGGATTCGGTACAGATCAGACAGTGGGAAAGGTCTGCAGATTGAAGAAGTCTCTCTATGGGCTAAAACTCAGGAGGGCTATGATTGGTATGGGGTACCAGCAGATCAGCGCCGACCATACCGTGTTCTTTCGAAGAAGTGGAGGTCACATCACCTTGCTTGCAGTATATGTGGATGATATGATTATTACAGGGGATGATGAGAAGGAGATTGCCCAACTCAAAGTGAGACTGGGTAAAGAATTCGAGGTGAAAGATCTTGACTTGCTTCGATACTTTCTTGGAATAGAGATAGCTCGAGGAGCGGAGGGGATCGTCCTATCCCAGAAAAAGTATGCACTGGATCTTCTTAAAGAAACAGGAATGTTAGGATGCAAACCTGCAACTACACTGATCGACCAGAAGTTTAAGCTGGGTACTGAAGCTGGAGAACCAGTTGATCGTGACAGATACCAAAGGGTGGTGGGCAGGTTAATCTATCTGTGTCACACACGTCCCGATATCTCTTTTGCAGTGAGCGTGGTGAGTCGCTACGGACGTAGTGTATCAGATTCTAAGGTATTTGAAGAATGCCCCCGGAAAAGGGCTAATCTTCAGGAAGAATGAACACATGAGCATTGAGGGCTATTGTGACTCTGATTGGGCTAGCTGTGCTGATGACAGGAGGTCCACCTCAGGATACTGCATCTTTATAGGAGGCAACTTAGTCTCGTGGAAGAGCAAGAAGCAGTCGGTGGTGGCGAGATCGACAGCTGAGGCAGAGTATAGAGCTATGGTCTTAGGAATTGCTGAGTTACTATGGTTGAAGAGTATGTTGGTGAAGCTGAAGCTGGATCAAGGAGCTAAGATGAAGTTGTGGTGTGACAACAAGTCAGCCATCAGTATCGCCAACAACCCAGTGCAGCATGATAGAACCAAACACATCGAGATCGATAGGTTCTTCATCAAAGAGAAGTTGGATAGTGGACTACTGGAGCTAAGTCATGTTTCGACTAAGGACCAGGCAGCAGATTGTCTGACTAAAGGACTTAGCTCAGTAGATATGATTAGAGGATGTGACAAGATGGGCTTAGTATATATATTTCGCCGATCTTGAGGAGGAGTGTTGACATATTAGTATTAGTTAGGGACTTATTTGTAAGTTGTGTAGGGGCCTATATAAAGCCTCAAGAAATCTCATAATGAATTAGGGTTTCTATTTCAACTAAAACAGATACAACTGAAACTATATATTATTTGCCGATTGAAATTCTTTCATGTCAATATTTTTTTTTGGTCAATCAATTTTTTTTGTTTATTCACCAATGTTTAAAGTCTGTTATTTTCACCAGCATATTATAGTCTTTTTGAACTTTTGCTATTATTTTCCCACCACAGAGAACTATATGTACCCATTGCGTACATGTTTGATTGTGGTTCATGCACAACAATAAATCTAACTTTTGATTGAAAAATATTTGACCTAATATTTATGAAAAGAGGAAAATCTCGCTGAGAAATTGGCCAAAATATTAAAATTATCAAAACCATATCATGTCTAGAATATATATAGAGGTATAAGGGCATTATAATACATACCTAGATTAATATAACATATGCAGAAATAGTGAGAATTGTTTAAAAAATATAAACAAAACATACACCTGATCGATAACATGCGCATTAGTATAACACATACCTAGATTAATATAACATATGCATAAATAAATTTTTTAGTTATTATTATTAATGTTTATTTTTATCTTATTAAAAATTTATGTTGTTATAAGGGCATTATTAGAAAATAAGATTCCATTCTCACTTGTGAACTAGTGATACCAAACATGGGAATGAGAATTAGATTTTTATTCTAGCTTCATTCTACAAACGCACCCAAACAAGAGAATGGGAATGACCATTCCATTCTCACATACATTCCATTCCATTCCTTCTTCCATTCCATTCTCACTTGACTTCATTCCCACGTACCAAACGAGGCGCTAGGGTGTCACCTTAAATTCACTTTTCCATATATATATATATATATATATATATATATATATATATATATATATATATATAAGTCATGTTCATAATTTCTGTATGCACATCTATGTTTTGATTAATCATGTATCATTCCATCACAGTTGAAGAGATCTCTAGCACTACCCATGGCATGCTCATCATCATCATTTTTCTTTTTGGTGCATTAGTATATAACAGTTAGAAATTTTTGACACAACCAATGTATGCCTAGGGCTTTATTGTCTGTTTGACATTTTAGTTATGGGGTAATGTTCACAGATTCCATGCGCACACATTTATGTGTTCTGATCGATTATATTCTTCTATCACAGCTGAAGAGATCTGTAGCACTACCGATGGCATCATCATCGTCTTCTTCTTATTCCTCATTCATGCATTTCTACAAATGCTTTGCTCGCATCTGGTTCGGTCTCTTGCTTGCTCTCCTACAGAATTCTGAAGGAAGAGCTGCCACAGGTTCACAGTATTTGATTGGGCTCGGGAGCTACGATATAACTGGACCCGCTGCCGATGTCAATATGATGGGATACGCGATGCTTAGCCAGATTGTTTCTGGAGTGCACTTCAGGCTGCAGGCACGCACGTTCATTGTTGCTGAGCCTGGAGGGGATCGGGTTGCTTTTGTGAATCTTGATGCATGCATGGCGTCTCAGCTTGTTACAATCGAAGTGCTCGAGAGGCTGAAATCTAGGTATGCAATTTTTTCCTATATGATTCACATTAGTAAACATGAAACTCTGAAGTGATATATGGCAAAAGGAAAGTGATAGAAGGAATTTTGCCACGTGAGTCCTTAAGAAATTGATTGTCATCAAGTAGTTCTTCATGTTATAAGATACTAAAAAAGATACTAAAAACCTTTATTTGAGCAAATTGTCATGATATCTTCTCCCAGGGATGTTCTAGCTAAGATGGATGTAAATTACCCACCTTGATGAATCTTTTGATCCGGGATTTATCTTTTTGTATCTCTCTCCTAGCGGAGCCAAACTTATTTTGCTGATGTACTATGATTTTGGTTTTCAGCCGAGAGCAAATTGAAAATTTATCACCTCAAGTTTGCATGGGTTCAAATTGAAATTTGACCAAAAATACCTGTTTCTATTGAGAAATTGAACCTTTTGGGTAACACTGAACGGAGGCTAAAACTGGTACAGGTGAATTACTGAAAATGATGTGCTGGAGGAAGAACTGAAACTAAATCAGAGTTTTGAAACCTTGCTTTCGAATACTAAGATATTTTCTGGAGAGAAGACAGGGAGTTACGAAGGACCCCTGGTTGTTTCATTAATAAGAACCTAATGAAATTTACATAAACAACAAACGTATGCCAAAGCAGATAAAAAGAAAAATACATATAAAAGAGACAATCCCAAGGAAAGACAAACATCTGCATCGCAACAATGAATCAATCACTAACACTAAAACCAAACTCTGGAGACAAAGAACAATATACTCTAGAAACAAAAGTCGCATGTGTGATCAACTGTAATGACCCTCCATTGCAAGATGCTCCCCTCCTTGATCCTCAGAAGAAGAAATATCTGACTCCCTCCTCGGAATACTGTAAATTTTATTTTAATTGTTGACATTGTACAGACTGAATACACAATCATTAATTGCCATTGATAATCCTAAACTTGGTCATAAACAGTTGAAAGGCTTCCAGTTTTGGTGCTAAGAGTGACAAATTAGTAGTATGTTTACGTTAATTAGCTGTTATATCTGTAATTGCTATCCTTCTTTTGGCAGGTATGGAGGCATATACAATGAACGAAATCTGGCAATCAGTGGAATTCATACTCATGCTGGGCCTGGTGGTTACCTTCAATATGTGGTGTATATTGTTACATCTCTTGGATTTGTAAGACAGTCATTTGATGCTCTTGTTGAAGGAATTGAGCAAAGCATCATACAAGCTCATGAAAATCTCCGGCCTGGATCGATATTTGTGAATAAGGGTACAAAGCACTTTTCATCATTGTTATGGTTCGTTATTGGGGAATATACCTCTTCATAATGTCTCTCTGATGAAATAGTTTAGAACCATATCTATATCTTCAATGCAATATGTATTCCTCATTGTCACAAATAGAAAGTTATAATAATAACTTTTTAGAGACAAAAGAAGCCAGTTTTTTAGTGCAGTTTTATAGATATGTGCCATATGTGCAATTATTCTGACAGTCTGGGTCACTTGATGAGATAAGTGGATTTGTGTCCTCCAACATTTGTGCCTAAATACAAGTTGGATTTCTCGAATAGAGTAGAAATAAGTGTCAATTACTTGTCATGAACCTAGAAAGGGTCTTTTCGCAACTTTTTGTTTCCAAAATGGTAGGTTATAATGATAAAACTGTGAATTGATAAAGCTGTATGATTGGGTCATATTAATTTAAATGTACCCTCTATGTTTTCAGAAATTTATGTTCTGCACAAAATAATCTTCTACTTATGTGTTCTGTGTTCACTTCTGGGACTATCTTTATATGTTTAGATAGTGTCATCCCTATATTTTCACATAAAAGCTTCTTTAGTTGTGCAAAGCATGACATCTTGCCATGTTTAACTTCAGGAGAGATCCCTGATGCTGGTATTAATCGCAGTCCTAGTGCATACCTCAATAATCCTTCTGCAGAGCGAAGCCAATACAAGGATAACATCGACAAAGAAATGACATTACTGAAGTTTGTCGATAATGAATGGGGTCCTGTAGGTAGCTTTAACTGGTTTGCGACACATGGAACATCAATGAGCAATACAAATTCCTTGATAAGTGGTGACAACAAAGGGGCAGCTGCACGTTTCATGGAGGATTGGGCTAAACGGAAGGGTTTCCCATCAGGGTTCGACAGCATTGGCAGCACTCAAAATGGGCTTCCACGGAGAGTATCTGGCATAATACCTCACTTGAATGAGAACTGTAAGTTTTTGTCCTTCTTTCTGGAGTTATCTTTGTATAGAATATTTATGCCAGTATCTACTAGGATCCAAATTGAAAAGGATTCTCTCCTGTTTGAGCCATGAATCCAAGCATAGTTTATCATACATTCATCTATGTTTTTTCCAGTGTTGAACTAAAGCTCATGTGGTACCTTTTTGTATACCAATTCCACACTCACACTGAATGGATACACAACAACCAAACATTAACTTATATATTCTATGCAGTAGATGAACTAAAGAAGCTTGCATCCTTGTTCAAGGCATCTCGTGGAAGGAAATTGACAAGGACAGTGGGTTCCCCTCACCGAATAAGGAGTGTTCTCAGGCAAGGAAACATGCCAAAATTCGTGTCTGCCTTTTGCCAGTCAAACTGTGGAGATGTCAGTCCAAATACACTGGGAACTTTCTGCAATGACACTGGGCTTCCTTGTGATTTCAATCACAGCACCTGCAATGGCAAGAATGAACTTTGTTACGGACATGGCCCAGGGTAAAAAAAACAAATACTTGGTTTCATTACACTTTTCGACATTGCATTGTCACTTTTCCCCTTATCACTGACTCATTCAAGTATATTTTGTTTAAATGTACCAGTTACCCTGATGAATTTGAAAGTACACGTATCATTGGTGATCGGCAATTCAGAAAAGCTACGGAACTCTTCAGTTCAGCCTCTGAGAGAGTTACCGGGAAAGTTGAGTATCGTCATACTTATTTAGATCTTTCAAATCTTAAGGTTATGATTCCTTCGAGTGGTGGAGGGCAAGAAGTGGTAAAAACATGCCCGGCTGCCATGGGATTTGCTTTTGCTGCAGGAACCACCGATGGTCCTGGAGCTTTTGATTTCAAGCAGGGGGATGACAAGGTTAGTTTTATCCCACAAATTTTGTTTTTTTTCCTTTTCCTTTTCTTTTTTTGAGGCAAAATAGGCCCATACCTACATTATTATAAGTATGAAAGAGTAGGATACAGAAAATGGTTACATGGACGTAGTTTGATACTTAGAGGATTTCAAGAACTGAAGAACATCACAAAGTACATTTTCTTACCGAGAACCAAAATAAGGCAGGTTTTCTTCTTGTCTGGATACCGTTTTATGTCTTTTATATGTCAGGGAAATCCTTTCTGGAGATTAGTGAGAAATGTTTTGAGGACACCAAGCAAAGAACAAGTTGCCTGTCAGCAACCAAAGCCAATTTTACTTGATACGGGTGAAATGAAGACCCCATATGATTGGGCGGTAAGATGAATTCTAGTGCCTATTTTTTTTTCAATGAAATAATGGCCTAATGTTCTTTATTATCTCATTACATTCTGATCAACTGTTTTGTTTCCGAGTATTAAAATCTGGGTACTCTTGAATGATTCCCTCTACTTAAAAGAAGTGAAAAATTCCATGGCTTGCAGAAGAATTACTAGAACTGATTAGAGTTTGATTCCATTTGTGTGATTTTTTTAATTTGTCCAGGTGCCCTTCAATATTATTCATTTTGCTTCTATTAATCGGTAAGTACATCTCTTTTGCAGCCTTCAATTCTCCCAATTCAGATAATTCGAATAGGCCAAGTTGTCATCCTTTCTGTACCTTCAGGTATGTAAGCAATACGCTCTATTTTCTCTTTCTGGAACATGTGATAGTTCTGAAATTTGTCTTATTTCATATCCGGCTATCATCTTATAACATGTACCACTTCTCAAAAAGAAATTCCTTCTGGCTAGAATACACATGCGATCAATCCATATATGTTTTGTTCAGTATCAACTCTAATATTACAGTTCATGCACGCACGCGTCTGTGGTGCTTTCTTTGTTTAATATTACCCACACGTCTGTGGTGCTCTCTTTGTTTAATATTACCATAAGTAAGCAAAAATCCTACTCTAGAGGGACCAATTTTACCATGATAGCAGTAGTATTAACCTTCCTAAGTTGGTTATGATCACCAAAGCTTAAGAAAGGTCCAAAAAGTACAATTTAATTATTAAATCAGTTAGCAGCAGCTTTGCTCTTTCAAAATGTGTTCATCTTCAATAAGTTAAAAGTTTTGCCACCATTCTAATAAACATGACTGTCATTTACTAAGGTGATCTTAATACTGTGACCATTCCACCAAATTGATATATGAAATGAGAGATATGGTGAACACGAATTGTCTTTCTTCTGCAAATACAGTTAGAATTTTACAAAGATATTTATTTTTTCTTAATTTATTCTGTCTTACCCTAATTTCTCTTATGTTTTAAGGTTTAACTGGCGATAAACCACTCTTTTGTTGCTGTAGACCCCCTGAGTGAATTTTTTTTGACTTCTTGACTCTCAGAGAAAGAGAATTTTTTTTCCAAATAGACCTCCTGAGGGTAAAAGAGTCAAAATATTTAACTCAGGGTGTATATCCATTGGGCAACAGTACAATATGTCTATTCAAAATCATCAATTGTTTTAAATTCTATCCTTGTTAACCGCCCCTCTTCATCACTTATTTACTTGCAGAATTCACAACAATGGCTGGCAGGCGTCTTCGGAGCGCTGTGAAAGAAGTACTCACCAAAAATGGAGAATTCAATGATAATGTTCATATAATAATTGCTGGTCTCACAAACTCTTACTCTCAATATGTTACAACTTTTGAAGAGTACCAGATTCAAAGATACGAGGTATTTTCACCTAAATTTCCACATAGCTTGCTTACTCGTAAGTCATAAGTTGTTTTGCATCAATGAATCAGCATTCTGCCTCTAATCCAAAGCCACCCTCAATGAAAAAGGAGCATAGTATATAATACACCTGGATCAAATGTATTGCGCTTCAGATTTGATGTATCGTCATTCTTACTTATTTCCAACAACAAAGAGAAAGTGACAAGGCACATTGTTCAAGAGGAACCTCAGAAGAGCTGGTAAAATATTTGACCTATGACAACGAACTTACAGGGTTCAACTCATGAACCAATATCATGACTAAAACTTTGTTTACTGTATAAGGAGGGAGTGATCATGTAAGGACACGTTTAACTTGTATATAGACATATATAAGTACATATATATAAACACACGTACATATGTGTATTTGTCTCTGTACATAATAAGATAATTAAGACGTGGTATAGTGAACTAAAAGAAGGGATAGCCCTTTAAAGAACTGAATGGAAGAATAGGTTTTATGTAGCTGACCCTAAAATCCTATAACATTGGGATAAACGTTTTGTTATTCTTGTTGTCTGTGTTTTTCTGGTTGTTGTTGTTGTCGAGGAAAATCATAGTTTTTGCTGCATTGAGGATTCAAGATTCTTACTTTTCCTTTGGCAACACTAGCCTCCCAGCAACACTGTAATGCCATCTGAATGCTAGTTGATTTATCCTTTTTCGACTTGAAACTCTTCTGATAGTTTCCCCTCTCAGGGAGCCTCCACACTGTATGGGCCGCACACCCTCAGTGCGTACATCCAGGAATTCCAGAAACTCACGACTGCCCTGATAAGCAGCCAGAGCGTCCCCTCCGGCCCACAACCTCCCAATCTCTTGGACCAGCAGATCAGCCTTCTCACCCCCGTCGTCACTGACTCAACTCCCATTGGCACAAAATTTGGGGATGTCAGCGTCGACGTGCCTCACAACTCCACATTCCGACCAGGCAAAACCGTCACGGCCACATTCTGGTCTGCTTGCCCAAGGAACGACCTCATGACCGAGGGAACCTTCGCCCTTGTTGAGATGTTGCATCAAGAGAGTAATGTCTGGGTTCCAGCTTATGATGACGATGACTGGTGCCTACGTTTCACGTGGTGGCGGCCTGCGAAGCTCAGTGCGCAAAGCCATGCAACACTGGAGTGGAGAATACCGGAGAGTGTGACCTCGGGTGTGTACAGGTTGAGGCATTTTGGTGCTTCTAAGAGCTTGTTTGGTTCTATAAGGCATTTCACTGGTGCTTCTAGTGCGTTTGTGGTGCTCTAGCAAGCAAGTTTGAGGATATGGGCTAGTTGTTGATGATGAGGGAATGTAAGCTTTTAGTGTTATTCCTGCGTGACTACTGTGGGAGTTTTCTTTATGGTATATATTCTAGAACTAAAAAGAATTTGATTCTAAATATAATTATTTATTCAAAAAGACAGCAATAACTTTTATTGTCGAGAAATCCTCTTAAGAAAGTGATAAAGTGCTTTCTTTTGGTAATAAGTACTTCAATCATGATTTAAATATATTTAAGAAATTAGCTTCATAAGAGCATCTCCAACAGCTTCTCCAAAATTTTCTCCAAAATGGGGAAGCAAAAGTCATATTTTTTAGAGCATCTCCAACAGCTTCTCCAAAATTTTCTCCAAAATGGGGAAGCAAAAGTCATATTTTTTAACTAATTTTTACACCAACTCCAACAGCTTCAATTTTCTCCAAAATGGGGAAGCAAAAGTCATATTTTTTAACTAATTTTTACACCAACTCCAACAGCTTCTTCATTTTGAAGAATCACTTTTTTCATAATTATCTTAAAGTTTTCCAAGAAAATCTACATTTCAATGAAGTGACTTAAAATTTAATTTAATCCCTTGTTCCTCGAACTTTTGATCCTTACTGTTCATCATCATATGCAATCCCCGCTGTCGTTTTCAACCCATTACCTCACCTTTTTCATTAATGACAAGTATCTCCATCACACTTCACTCATGTTTTCTCATCGTGATTTGATTTTATTATTTGATTATGGTTTTAACAGTTTCATGGATTCGTGTATGATATGATTTCAGCCGTCGATGAATTTTTGAGTATCGATCTATATTTCAAAATTTAGACTTTTTTGAACAAATATAGACATTTTTTCACAGCATTGCCTTTACTAGAGTTGCTTATTTTGATTTATTATGATTTATCATAATTTTTAAATTTTTTTTGGGTATTGTTCAAAATTGGGTCCTTAACCTTATTAGGTTAAATCTAAATGTAACCCAGTATCTACCCTATAGATACCAAATGTTCTATTCAAACCCTAGATTAGTTCAACCCCAAAAATCTCCCACAAACCGGTAAATGCTTGTTCAATTCTCTTAGGGGCTGTTTGGTTGTTGTTGGTAAAGTTGTGTATTTATGACACAACTTGGAAAGTTGTTGTCCACCTCATCATTTTCACTTTTACGCTTTTCTTTGTTTGTTTTTGATTCCATTGGAATCATAAAACACTTGTTTGGTTTGCAAAATAAAACTTTAATTGTTTGTTTGGAAAGTGTAAAAAGTGGTCCCTACTCAAGTGATCATATTGGTTGAAATTTCTTTTTCCTGACTTCAATGTCAGCTTTCTCCTAAAATCATGTCTTTTTTTTATGAAATCACTTTACAAGCCACATCAGCATATGAAACCACTTTACACTATTTTTACAATTACAAACAAACAATTGAAAGTGATGAAAGCTGACATTGGGACCCATTTTTTTACACTTTCCATCATTTTACATGGTAAAAACATACAACCAAACGGGCCCTTATTGTTTATGGATCCAAGATCCATTTTTGTTTTTTTATTGATGATCCTTTCCATCATTGAGAGTTTTAGTTATATTTTCAGATTTATTTAAATGGATTTTGAGATTTAGATATAAAGCTAGTTTTTTTTTGAAAAACTCATGTTATAAAAATGAAGTTCATACGTGGTTTTGGTAAGAGATCTATGAGGGTTGATAGAGATCTTGATTTTTTAAGCTTTAGATTGTTATTTGATGTTTGTGGGCGAGATTAGAAGGGAGATTTCATCATTTTTTTATGAAAGAGTCATTCGAGCTTGAGCAATGATAGATTTTATTTAAGAGCATGGTTTGGTGTAAAATTTATTCTAAAAGATCCCAATTCATGTTAGAAAACATGTGTGGAAGGTCTATTTTTGTTGTATCACAGAAATGACTGTGTGTTAACCCCGTTCCAAGAGTCGACACGTGTCCCAAGTTTACTATGCACCAAATCAACTTGGCCCTATGAAGGACGAGTCAAATTACGTCATCACTCGACCCTTTCCAAGAAGGGCCTGTAGACGATCAAAATGTATTTTCACTTAGACCGATTATCAGCTTGGATCTAAGAAGTGAACACTCATGGGCTACACACTTCAAACGGGTCCAAAATCAAGACCACAACAAGCTGCAACGAAGGTCACATGATAACCAAAGCAAACCTCACCAAAAGCTCGTTAATCAGTCGAGACTAGAGTCAAATTCTGTGTCAAATTCGAACTCATGGGTGAAGTTCGCTAGCCAATGAACTCCGCCCACGTCAACTCAAAGTGGACCAAGTCATCCACTTTCGAAGAAGACACGCCCACACCCACAGCGACCCTCGCCCGCACCCGTAACGACCCTTGCCCGCACCTGGAACGACCCTCGCTCGCTCTTGTAGCGACCTCCACTCATGTTTCTAGCGAA